TTTGTCCGGTAAGGGACGGTCCGTGTATCGGTAAGCTGACGGACCGGTACGTACCACCCGTACCGGACAGTATTATTCAAAATTGCTTACCTTGATCATAAATACCACAACATATATGAGATATGGAACATTAGCAAATACCATTATTTCAAGTTGTCTCAAATGGAAAGCTAGTTATGATGTTTGAAGAATCATTGAAGGTACAACAACACAAGTCAAGAATGAGAACATTAAATTTTCAAGAGACATATTAAAGATGTGGAACCGTTAGACTAAATAATTAAGGCAGATTTGGATAAGATTTTATCAATGTTGCTGCAACTATAAGAAAAACATGGTCTTCTTAGCATTTAATTAATTGTAATATTGAATTACAAAAACATCAGAAAGATGTTAAATTTTAAAAATGGCAAAATGCTGGGGTAATGATGGTTAATAACTGAGTGATACAAAGTTGGAGATAAACCAGTGATCAGGGAATTGCTAGCATTTATATTGGAAAAAATACAGATGGAACTAACATATAACTTTTCATCTATCACAAGTACAATCCATTTAGAGTTGAAGTATTCTAACAAAATTTTCTATTGCAATAAACACATTAGCTAAGCAATTTTAAGCTAGTAATAATACTGGTAGCCTACTCTTTTGAGGAAGCTATTGATGTGCAAATGAACATCTAACAACTTGAAAGAACAAACAATGTTCAGCAATCATTTAAAAAAAAGTGGTAACTACATCAGATATTTTCAACACTTAACATCAATAAGAAATAAAATCATAAAAAAACTTCGATCTACAATAACTGACAATAGCTTTTAGATTAATGACAAAACATAAAAACTTACAGCTTGTTCCAATGATTCAAGTTTTTTCTCAACATTTGATTGATGGATCTGACGTAGAGTATAGCCTGCAACATCATTGGAGAAAATTTCAGGATACTGAATTGAGAGATAGACAAAATACATAATCAACTACCTTGGCTGGTAATAAAAGATACAGAAATTAACACCATTCACAGTTTCCAAGGACAAGTAGCGTGTGTGTGCCTTCATAAATAGACCAAGATGACCTAGATGGAAGCGTATGCCTATTTCCATCAAGAATAAAACATTTTAATCACTACAAGGTGATACCAACTTATATAACTAGAACAACTCTTATGCTGACACCAAATCCACAAATCATAACCAATTACAACATCCATCAAGGTAGCTGCGAATCCTAGCCGAGTACCTGTTTAGAAAATTTTCATTTTCCTATCATTAAGAAGATGCCAAAGCCATACTTCTAAATGTCGAACAACATTGGGTATCACAACTAGTGATACAAAATGTACCAGTCACTACAAAATATACAGACTAGCGTCTAAAACCAAAACAAAATTTTCAAGATGCTTCTTGAGTGTATAACCATGTTAAGGAATTGTCCCATCCATTTCCACAACCCTTCATAAAGCATCCTCATGATGTTGTCAGTAGGCTGTATATCTTGATTCTCTTTCACCTTGTCCTTAATTATGCATATTGCTAATCCTCTCAGAAAACATTCATTTAAATTTTCCAATTGTATGTGCATCCTTCTAAACATTCTATTCATGTCAAATTGTGCTACTTGCTTCACATTAAACATCAGGGACAAGGTTGTCATTCTATAGGTTAAGTAAAAGCTGCGAACTATCTTATCAGTCAAAAAAAGCCAAAATTTTAGAATTTAGACAATTAAATCAAAACCATTAGTCCACTGATTTGTGAAAGGGATCCTGAAAAAAAAATCTAGGAAACCAATAATCAACTCTTAAACCACACATTTATTTTCTCTTCTATATGATTAACAATGTGTTACATAATCCTTTATTTTCTCTTGCTTACTTGGAGACACTTAGCCCTTGAATTTAATCTTATTACCTCGTGAATGAATGTTCTGTCCTCCGCACCAGTGGAACAATAGTTTTTTCATTTTTCTTCTACATGATGAGTTTTAGTTCCAAGAGAAGGATGATGATACAATAAAATAATCAACGTGAATTAGACAATGCAAAACACAAGACAAGAAAAGATTTGTGTGTGTGTATGTCACACCTGTTGATAAGTCAGTAACTTTAACATCAATATTATTTTTTTACAAGGGTAAATTTGACTCAGAGGATATTTTAGATCTCACAACTAATAATCCTTACAGCATACAATGCAATCATACATAACATACACTTGCTTCACATCAATTCCATTTGTCCCAGTCAATTTACAATCCTCCAGTCCTTTTAAAATTATTTCCTGATTTATAGCTCTGTTTATATTGAAATCTATTCTTATATTAAAATATTTAATTTTTTTTATTAATGAGAACATATATTACTTGAATTACCAAAAATACTAAGTTCTACTTTTGAGAAAAAGAAATTTAGAACATTGAAATCACATCCATGGCATCAATTAATTTTATGGAAATGCTATGACATTATAACCAAAGAAGAGTTGATAGGTAACGATAGCATTAAATATGATGGCCCTTCGTAGGTTATCATAACCCAACTTGATCATCCATATAGCTAATCAACTAATTAGTTTGTCCCGTGCAATAGATTCAATATATTTAGGACCTCTTGAAGAAGAAATTAGAGGGAATGCATTTTGCTTCCACACAAGTTTCACATACAAGAAAATTTACACAACTAAAATAAAATTACAGCAACGAAAGAATGAATTTTACCTCCCCATGCAGTAAGAATGGAGGCAATAGACGTTCCAATAGTGAAGACCACTCTATGAGTCTCAAAAACTTCCTGTATAATTCATCCCACCAAAACAGAGATATTAGGGAGGAACTTTATATAAACTCAATATAAACGTGATGTCAGACAATATTTCGACAACTCAAACACCAAAATGATACTGTCAATTTACGCACCAAAAAAGAAGGCCAAATTACCACATAACTTTCACAAAAAGGCGCAGGAGAAAGTAATCCAGAACGCAAATTTTAAGGCTAATTCAGCTATTTCAAGTTTTATCAACCAATTAATCCTGGACCCAAAAAACCATCCTCACATATTGAACAATCGATAACCCATTACTAAACAACCCCCATTCAATTGACAACCAAAAGGAAAATACAAAGAAACTTGATTCAACAAAGCAATCAAAACTGGAACCAAAACGCTGAAGAAAGACACCAAGGAACCAGAATTAAGAAAAAGAGTAGCCACCTTGGTGGAGAGATAGGTGTCCTGAACAGCCGACCAGGTATTCGACGTCTTCCTCTTTAGATTGGGGAAGGCCAGGCGCTTGAAGGCGGAACCCTCGTCGCCGCCCCAGATCCGCGGGCTCACCGTCCGAAAGATGGCCCTACCAGAGCTCCGCAGCCGCTGCGGCAACATCTCCTCCTCTCGCCCCTACCGATAGATAGTCGCCGCAAGATTGGGCGAGGATCACAGAAGGCGGAAGGAAGAGGCGACACCGTCCCACGCCCTTTTCGCAATTTGCTCCAAATTGGCCCTCGAGATTGCAAGCGTTATATTCTAGTTGGAACGATGGCTCGCGCCGCGGCCTCGATAGCACCAACGAGTCGGTTTGGATCGGGATTACGGCTCGGTGATTTGGGCACCGTTGTGGTGGATACAATTGACCTGACCCGAACCGAACCCGATTTGTGGTTTTCGGTTTTGGATGCTTGCACATAACGGGTTGATACGATTAACCCGATTAGAAAATGGGTCGGGTTCAAATACACTAATTTCTGATAAATACTAATGGAATCAATATATATATATATATATATGAAGAATTTAGATATTTCAAGGGATATATATTACATCAAAATTGATCAGCCCCCTTACGGCGATCGGTGGCCTCATGTTACGCGCAGTCACTGGACCGAACCCGGCCCGACGGACGGTGTCTCCTCGGCCCACGAGAAAGGCGCGAGATGAGAGCGACAGGATCAACGTCTCTGGTGGGGACCACGTGGAGTTGCGGCGGGACATCGGGCGGCTATCGTTCCCCGACCTGTCCCCGTGTCGCGATCCCGCACAAAGATACGCTACGGAGGCGCTGCCAAAGTTTGCAATTCCAGTCGCCGGTCGACACCGCATCGAGGAGCGCCCCCCGAGGGCACGAGCCCATTCAAACGTCTTCACGTACTTTGAGGGGCGCGGCCGGGGAGGCGCGGAGCAGGTGTTGTCAGCTTTTGGTTGGGTAGGTGCGCGTGTCTGGGGCCCACACGGAGTCGGATCCAAACACGTACCGATCAGAGACGCGATGGGATGCGACGTGATTTGGTGGGTCGTTGGCTGCCCGTTCGAACCCAATCCGCGACACGGACGCCGTATCAGCCACTGCTGCTCGTCGAGTCTTCTCGCTCGAGTTCTCTTCTTTCTGTTGTCGTCCTTCCTCTTGTTTCAAACGTGACAAGTGATCGGGTTCTGCACGAGCCCACAAGGGTGATTTCGTCATTATAGTGATGTGAACAGGCGTAGCCGCGTGGGGTTGGAGGGTGCGGGATAAGGACGTGTCATCAGGGCGTCCGTATAAAGTTTATTGGTGCACACGAAAGATCCATCGTCCGTTTCGCCCCCCACACCTCATCGTGCCACGTGACGGACAGATGGAATCCCGTGTTGTGTCAGCAACGTGTTCGTCAGCCGTGATGCAGATCGAGCCGGACGTTTACATGCCCGTCCTCCACAAACGCGCCAAGCTACCACGGCGATGATTGGAGATTTAACGTGGGGCACGGTGGGGACCCGCGTGAAGCGCGTCAAGAATACAGCGGACTGGATTAAGAAGTCGCTTCCTGAGGAGTAATGTGCGTGTATACACGTGACTATGTTCACACTTAATGGTTTCACATGTTAGCTGGTTTAATTGCTTACGGTATTCCGATGAGTCGCGTGTGATGATACCACCATCCATGAGAGATGATGATGGATAATAATAATAAATAAGGCTTATCTCATGGATAAGCACGAGGGTAGGATGGTCATTTAATATACGTCAAAAAGGAAATGGAAAAAATTAAAACAAATGCCCCGAAATGGGCAAGAGTATGGGGTAGGGTAGGGGGAGGGGGGAGAAGGGAGGAGAAGAAGGGGGGTGGGTAGCGGAAGCGGAGGTGACCGATCGTAGCGGAAACAAGCAAAGCGGTCAAGTCTTCCACTTTATCGCTTGGCGATCGCTCGCTCGCTCGCAACCGAGGAAAGGAAGATAGGAGAACAAGGTTGAGATGCTGAATTTTTTGTGCCCTTCCAGTGGTCGATCTCCTTTCCCTTGCCTTCCCTCTGTTCTACCTCGTCCTTGGTGAGAAGATTATTGCGTTTGATTTGTGGAAGACATGCGGAAGGGCCGAGTTCCGGCGGCGGCGGCGGCGGTAGAGACGCGGTTCCGTGGCGTCCGGAAGCGGCCGTGGGGACGGTTCGCTGCAGAGATCCGGGACCCGTGGAAGAAGGCCCGGGTGTGGCTCGGCACCTTCGACTCCGCCGAGGACGCCGCCCGGGCGTACGACGCCGCTGCCTGCGCCCTCCGCGGTCCCAAAGCCAAGACCAACTTCCCCCTCTCCACCTCCTCCTCTCCCACTCCCCAGCACCTCCCTCCCTTCCGCCCCTCCGCCACGCGGTTCCCCTTGGGCCACCGCGGCCACCAGCCCCCGCCGCCGACGCGGCCCACGTCCAGTAGCCACAGCAGCACCGTGGAGTCCTGCAACGGGCCCCGTCTGCCCGCGGCGGCGGCGGCCACGCCGATCCACCTCCGGACGGCGCACCTCGGGAGGCAGGCCAACCCGCCGCCCCCGCGTGTGCTCGCAGGCGAAAACGACTGCCACAGCGACTGCGGGTCGTCGTGCTCCGTGGTCGACGACGATGCCGACATCGCATCGGCGTACAGGCAGCCGCTGCCCTTCGATCTCAACCTGCATCCCCCGCCCGAGGATGATCTCCACGTTACGGTTCTTCGCCTCTGATGCTGCGATCCCACATCTGAGAGGAGAAAAAGGGTCCTTTTAAGAGTTGCGTTTTTCCTTCTCTCATCACCACTATTTAACGATGTGTTCTTTCCGTTCTATATTTATGGCATGGATTGATTTAGGATCTATTACTAATATGATTAAGAGTTTTAAGTATTTCAATGTATCAGAGTAGGTATAAAGGTTTTGTCTGGAATCTCCGTGTCTCATTCTCTACAAAAGAGCTCTGATACGTCTGAGTTAGATCTCCTATCTAATTTATTTATCTATGTAATTGTTATGATCTTAGTGTTCTATGGATCTCCTAGCTTGTAACATTTAGCGCGTGTTCACAAGGCAAGATAAAGATTTTTAAGCATAAATTAGAAAAAGAAATGAGAAGAACCAGGTGGGGTTTTAAGCATTTGCCGCTGCTTGAGTAGTAGATGATTGAAAATGATCATGATACACTGGAAAGATCGGAGTTGCAAATGAGAACGTTGATAATTTGTTTTTGTGGAACAGGTTCTTGCTGGTGATGCTTTATTTGCTTAATTTCTCTTGTTAATGGAAACACACCAAGGATTGTTTCTTGTGGATTTGCTGCTATTTAGTTTATACCTACATTTTAGTTATTTATGCAAATGTGATCGGCGATTCGGTTAATGGACATTATTGGACATGTTATATCGAAACCTGATTTCCCTGTAGATCCAAGTTTTGTGTGTTAGTATTGCTTATTGTTATTGTGTGGCTTGAATATGTGCCTTTCATTTCTTCTATTGTGCATAATAATCTTTGGACCGCAGAGTTTTTTTTGGATTGCTAGCTTGAGTTGATTTATTTTAAAGTTGACTTTAGATTATAAGTTGCCAAATCTGGTGCATTGTTATGTGTACATTTATCTGGTATTTTCACATGAGATGTGTATGCTTTATTGCAAGCTCTGGTGTGAGAGTTAATAAAACTGGGGATAGTTCATGGTTCAACTGCTTATGAATTTAGCTGAGATATCCATATATATATATATATATATATATATATATAACTTTCAGAATGTCATGTGCCCAAGTCATGTGTTCTTAAGATACACATTACATTGCCTATCTATTATTTGTTTTGCACTTTGTTCATCCATTTGGGTCAGATTCATTGTTTAGTTTCACATGATGATATTAGTAGTTTCATTAATCCTTATGGTCAGCACACTTTTATTGAGCCATTATTTTTTAATGTTCTAATTCAGGTGGATTTAACCACTCTTCTGGGTGTTGCCTCTTAGGACTTGATTTTGCTTACCATAGTGTCAGCCTTGTGTGGATTTAACAACTACTAGAGATTTTTTTGATTTGTTGGCTTTCGTGTCATATCATCAAGAGCCCGTGGAATGGCAGGCAAAAGTGATTTAAGTTTTAGGATTTGCAAGATGGTGTCTTCTTAAAATGAATCATGTCATTTTAAGTGTGGTGAGAACCCTGATTTAAGTGGCTTTCGGCAGGAGCAAAAGACAAAAAGCTTGCTTACTGGTTGAATATGGTTGTAGGTTGACAAATATACCATAGATTCTGGTGAGAATTGCCGAATGGTCATGCTATATCCATCCCAATAACAAGTACTGGTCGGTGGTTTTCCTTTGCAAACCTACAATACAATGTCATGTAGAACACCTGTGCCTAAACATCCTTTAACTAATTGCAGACAGCATTTACTTGAACTAGAAACCGAAGCCTAGTTTATGACAATTACCTGAATTGGACATATGGCTGCTAGCTGAGATTTCAACATGAAACTCAATCTAATCGGAATTACTGCCTTTATGTTGATAGTTATCTCTTTAACGGTTTTAGCTTCAATCTTAATCGATTATACTATTTCTTAGATTTTTATTTTCTGTTCTTCAAATTCTAGAAGGAACTGTGCTGAGGATATTATGATGATATCTGATTTGTACGGAGACCGGAGAGAAGTTATATCGAATTGTGTACAGAGTAATTCTCATAATGGTTGCAGTGTTTTCTACCTGGCTGTATAATACAATCATTCATTTGCTAACTGTTTGGCCTCAATAAAATCATGTAAAAGACAATATTTCTTGGAAATTCTAATATATTCTCTCCAGTATTTTTCAAATCTTCTTCTATCCAATTGTTTCTTTGGTTGGTTGTTAATGGTATTCAGCAATGTTGTTGACTTGATCTCCAGCTCTCACGCCCTTGAAGAAGATGATGATGCTGTAGACCATACTGAGAAGAAGAGGAAATAAGAGAGAGAGAGAGACATAAAAGACCAGATACAGAGAGAGAATGAAGATGGAAGAGCACGAGGAGAAAAAGGAGAACAAAGTCAGCGATGTCTTTTGACTTCGACAGAGAGAGCTGAGAGTGTTGAGGAACAATGGAAAGGATTGAAGCTGCAACCAAAGGCAATAAAAATGTGGAGAACGTCATGATACTTTGTACCCTTCGTCGTTGTCGCCTGGTTCGTTGCTCGTCACCGTTGTGGTCTAACTTGGAATGAGGATGTGGTCAATGCCTATGCCTATCCTGCTTGTGATGTAACAATCATGA